GTGCGTGTGTGTGTGTGTGTGTTTGCGTGTGTGTGTGTGCGTGTGTGTGTGTGTGCGTGCGTGCGCGCGGGGGCGGCGGTGGGGGGGTGGGGGAAGGGGGGGGGGGGGTGGGGGGGGTCATCGAGTTTTGCTCGAGCTCCTCGCGCACGTGGCCCCCCTCCTGGGCTGCCGGCGCCTGGTCGCGGCCCATGGCTGCGTCCGCTTGCGACAGTTCCGCCGCCATATCATCGAGGATATCGAGCTCCAGCGTCTCGCCCGTCAGCGCACTCGCCACCAGGGCGCGCCTGCGGGCGCCGTCGAGCTTCGCCGTCTCCTGCTCGTGGCGGACCTGCCACCTGCATCTCCCAGTGCCTCCTCGCGTGGTCGTGCTGGTCCCACAGCAAGTGCTGGAAGGCGTCGCGCAGCGCCCGCTCCGCCTGCTGCGAGGTGGCGGTAGTTGGCGCGGTGCTCCCCCAGCCCTGCCTGGCCGACGGCGGCCATCTGCTGACGCTGGCCTTCGCAAGCCTGCCAGGCTTCCTCCTCGAGGCGCCGCTTGCCTTGCTGGTGGGCCTCGGCCTGCTCCATGCCAAATCCGACGAGGCGCCTCTCCTGCTGTGCGTGGTGTTTCTCCATGGCCGCCTGCCTGGCCTGGAGCTCGAGGATCGTCTTTTGTCCTGCCTGAGCCTCCTGTTGGCCCATCTCCACTGCGTGCTGTGCCTCCGAAGCTCGCGCCTGCTGGGCCAGGGCTAGCGCTTCGCCCTCCGGCTCTGCTTGGGTCTGGTGGCAGCGCTCTCGCTCCTGGCGTGCCAGCTGCGGGCGCCCCCCCTCGCCTCGCCGAGCCGTGTTCGCTGCCTCCGCCAGTGCGCGCATATCCTGCTCGGAGCTTCTCTTCTCCTCCTGGAGCGCCTCCTGGGTCTGCATGGCGAGGTGGCGCTGCACCTGCCGCGCTGCGCCAGCCTCCTCCTGCTGGTGCTGCTGGTTCCCGCTCTGCCACCTTCGGTAGGCGGCCTGCTCGCGCTCGAGTTCGCGGTAGGCGGCACTTCTGATATCATCAACTTCGCGTTCATGAGCTCGCTGTCGGCGCTCCAGTTGCTCAGAGACTGCATGCAAGGTCTTCTGGGCAATGGCCTATTCGCAGCTGCGTAGCTTGACCGCGTGACTCTGCTCCATCGGCATCAACTGGGCCTTGAGCCTTGCAATCTCCTCTCGATGGCCGGCAGGCTGAGGAGCCGCTGGTGGCCTTGGGCGGGCTGCTGCCTTTGGCGGGGACTCGGGGCCCTGCGACTGCGGCGGCATGGGGGGCCTGGCCGCAACTGGATGCGGCGTGCGCGCGCGGCCGCGGTCTCCGCTTCCGCTTCGTCCGGCCTTCTCCTCGTCGACTTCGGCCTCCGACTCCGAAGGCGGGTCCCTGGCTGCGGTTCTCGCCATCATGTCATTGGTCTCGCGGACCAGCACCTTGCATCGCCGCGCGACCTTGGTGACCTTCGCCTCCTCGTCCAGCTGCGCTGCGATGCTGGCCTGGAGGCTGGTGAGCTCCTCCTCGGCCCGCTCCAGGGTGGAGCGCAGCTGGCGGAGATGTTTCTTCGGTGGGATCACGAATGTGATGTTCGCCGCCGTGACCGCTGACTCATACTCCAAGTTGGTGGATGCCACACCTGCGGATCGGGCTCCTGCAATGTTGTCCGCCAACCTAGCGAGGTGCTGGCTGCGGGTCTTCCGCCTGACCTCGAGCATCTCTGGGTCGGACGGCGGCAAGCTCCACGATGCGTGACCCTGCGCCTCCTCGTAGGGTACTGGCAGCACCGTGAAACCGCTTTGTTGCTGTGGCTGTGGCGCCTGCCGCCCTGCTGCTGGGGCTGTGACGCTTGTCGGGCGGCGGCTACGCTTGCGCCTATTGGGAGGCGTGTCCTCCTGCCACTTCTTCTGCTGCCAATGGCCTTGGGAGCAAGCAGCGCCCTGCCACTTCTGCTGGGTCCATCCTGTGCTGGATTGGTGCTGCTGGTTGCGCTGGGTGCTGCGCGCGCGCTGCGCACGCCATGGCCATGGGCTCTCCCCGCCTGCGGGGCCCGATGACTTCTTCCTCTGGCCAACATTGACCGCAACACGTGACATGCGCCGTCCGTACTCAGGGGCTGCTGCTTCTGCTGGCGCTGCTGCTGCTGGGCGCTGTGGTGGCTGTTGAGACGGCTTGCAGCTGCAGCGACACGTGGCAGCAGACGGTCTTGTCCACGAAGGGCTCGTAGCCGTCGGTGCCAAGGCTCCTCCCGCCCCCTGGGCGTCTTTAGAGTCCTGGCCGCTGTCGCGGCGGCCTTCTTGTTTCTTCTTTGATGGCCCGCGCGCGAGCCACGATCGACGGGGCGACCGACGAAGCGGCAACGGTCCCACCCCTCCTCGGCCGTATGGTTTCCTCCTCCTCCTCCTCCTCCTCCCCCCTCCTCCTACGTCCTCCTGCTCCTCCTCCTCCTCTTCCTCCTCCTCTTCCTCCTCCTCATCCTCATCCCCCGTCTCCTCCTCCTCCTCCTCCTCCTCCTCCTCCTCCTCCTCCTCCTCCTCCGTTCTTCTCCCCTCCTCCTCCTCCTCCTCCTCCTCTTTTTCTTCTCCTTCTTCTTCCTCTTCCTCCTCCTCCTCCTCCCTCTCCTCCTCGTCCTCCTCGTCCTCCTCGTCGTCTCCTCGTCCTCCTCTCCTCGTCTCCTCCTCTCCTCGCCTCGTCCCTCGTCCTCCCTCGTCCTCGTCTCGTCCTCGTCCTCGTCCTCGTCCTCTCCTCTCCCTCTCCTCCACCTCCTCCTCCTCCTCCTCCTCCTCATCCTCCTCCTCCCTCCTCCTCCTCCCCTCCCCCTCCCCCTCCTCCTCCTTTTCCTCCTCCTCCTCCTCCTTTTCCTCCTCCTCCTCCTCCTCCTCCTCCTCCTCCTCCTCCTCCTCTCCCCTCCTCGGAAGGGGCGCTGCCCCCGCCCATCTGCCCCCGAGACACCGGGGGGGAGGGGAAGGAGAGGGGGGAGGAGGCAGGAGGGAGGGAGCGGAGGGAGGAGGAGGAGGAGGGAGGAGGGGGGGAGGGGGGGGGGATCGACTGCAGAATTGATGTACCCCAAAATTCATGTCCCGTCGAATCTACGCAAATACGTAGGATGTTCTGTCGATCTACGGGGCATTCGATGTATTTTGGGTTGATTCGGCGGAAGAAGCATTTCTGGTGTAAATCAATTCTGCTACCTGAAGCCTCTCGCTGTGAAGAGAATCGCGGCGCGGGGTTCTCGTCCACTTTCGACCTCTGGGGGGCCCTCGCCGGGCCCCGGGACCGTCCAAGCACGTCAGGATGGGGAGCTGGTCCCGGGGAGGGGGTCCAGACCTCTGGGGTCGCCGCTTGCGCCTGCCCATCGGCCCCCGAGGTCCAAGGGGGGAGGGAGGGCGGGGGGGAGGAGGCAACCTAGGTGCGCTCGCGTCATCTCTGACGTCCTACCCCTCCCTCCAATCCATTACCATGGCGCAGATCTCCTCGCTATTCGCGCAATCGGATGTCGTAGCATGGCATAGCATTACATGGCATAGTACGGTGTTGAAGATTAACGCGCAGCATGACATGGCATGGCGTGGCGACGCCCCAACATGGGAGCGGGCTTCTGCTGCCCAACAAAACGAAGGATCGACACCGAATGTGTAATTGCTTCCGATGGTTTCTTCGGGAGGCCATCTTTTAGATTTTGGGGCGGAATTATCTGGAAGGATCGAAAACCATGCCGTGGCATGGCGCTGGAAATAATGACGCCAGCGCTGCAGCGGGAGCACGATTCGGAACGAGCAGAAGCGCGGCAATGAGGCCAGCGCTGCAGGGGGAGCACGATTCGGAACGAGCGGTAGCCCGAAAATAAGGCCAGCGCTTCAGCGAAAGCAGCATTTTGAGAAAGGGGGGGATTCTGCCACCCAGAAAATCAACGAATCGGCACCGAATGTTTAATGACTTCCGATGGTTTCTTCGGGGAACATGTTCTAGATTTTGCGACCTACTTGGAATGACCGAAAACCATGCCGTGGCATGGCGCTGGAAATAATGACGCCAGCGCTGCAGCGGGAGCACGATTCGGAACAAGCGGAAGCGCGGCAATGAGGCCAGCGCTGCAGCGGGAGTACGATTCGGAACGAGCGGTAGCCCGAAACTGAGGCCAGCGCTTCAGCGAGAGCAGCATTTTTAACAAAAAATCCAAGCGCGGAAGCGCGGATATGAAAACATGTAGCCTGACATAGCATGGAGTGGCGACGCCCCAAAATGGGGGGGGAGGGCTTCTGCGGCACAAAAAAAATCAACGAATCGGCACCGAATGTGTAATGACTTCCGATGGTTTCTTCGGGGAACATGTTCTAGATTTTGCGACCTACTTGGAATGACCGAAAACCATGCCGTGGCATGGCGCTGGAAATAATGACGCCAGCGCTGCAGCGGGAGCACGATTCGGAACGAGCGGAAGCGCGGCAATGAGGCCAGCGCTGCAGCGGGAGCACGATTCGGAACGAGCGGTAGCCCGAAAATGAGGCCAGCGCTTCAGCGAGAGCAGCATTTCGAAAAAAACCCACGCGAAAACCCAACTCCCAGAATTCCTGTGTCAAAAAGCGGTGCGCGGAGGGGGGCTGGCCATTTCCTGGACGCCACCAGGGGCGAGGAGAGTGGCATTCATATTGTTGAACTGATTGTGGAGGGGAGGGGAGGGGAGGGAAGGGCCGGGGGCCCAAACGCCCTGGCGTCGTGGAAAAAAATCGCGACGGGAAATTTGATGCCCTCGTCGAGCCCCAGGTCCGTCAACAAACGATCCGGAGATTACATCGAACCAGATCGGCCGCGCCACAACAGCGCCATGCGAGCATGGGGCCGCATCGGGTTGTCAGAATACCGGAATGCCGGAATCGTATCGGATCGTGCCGGTCGGAATCGATATCGAACTGGATCGATCGGATCAAAATACACCCTGCGACGACGACCGCGGCGACGACGACGCAGGCGGGGCTGCGTCGGTCTGGCGGCGTTGGCCGCGGGCCTCGTCCATCTCGCCCGCCTCGCGGCGGCGGCGGTCCTCCAGCTGGACCTTCAGGGACGACTGGATGCTCGTCTGTGGGGGGGAAGGGCATCACGAGCGGCGAACGTATCCGCACTCGCGCCCTCGCGGTCTGGATTCCCGGGGCGCGATCCCGCGGTCGCACGGGAACGTTTCGCGCGGGGCATCCGGAAGAGAAGCGCCCCGCATCTGCGGAGTCGCGGCCCGGGGGTCTGGCCTGCGCCACGTGGGCAGGGAGGCAGGGAGGGATGGAGGGAGCGCGGCAGGGGGCTCCTCCCTCCCTTCTCTCCCCCCCTCCGGTGCGCGTGGCCCTGCAGCTCGCCCCGCTGCCACAAACGGGCTCGCACGCGCGGCGGGCCCCGACCCCTGGAGTCGTGCCTTCGTCATGGCGCGGGCCCTCGGAGGTCTCGGCCGTCTCCCCGTGACCAGCTCTTCGTCCCGAGTCCTTCTGTTGACGGTCCCGGGGGCCCGACATCCCAAAAACCGCCCGTCGTGCTTTCCTTCACCACGCGAGGGGGGTCCGGGGAGACCCCCCGCGGGGGCCACCGCCCCACCGCCTGCGACCCGTCGCCGTCGTCCTCTCCCCGTGCGGGCGCTGCCCCAGGGGCCTTGAGGCGGCTGTTCTTCTGCGGCTGGGTGTCGGCGAGGCTGCGGTGGGTGTCGCCCACGCGCTGGAGCTTCAGCGAGTAGCTCTTCGCCGTCAGCTTGTGGGCCTCCAGCTTCTGCTCGTCCTCGGGGGGGCCGCGGGAGCTCCAGAAAGGGGCGGCGAGCGGCGTGGGGCGGACCGCCTGCTGCAGGCCAAGACCAGTCACGGGCCCGGGGGCCCACGCGGGCCTGGCCGCCCCCCCCCCCTGCCTCGACGATCGCACCGGGCCTCTGGGCGTGTAGGCACGCCCTCTCCATAATTAGGTCTGTATGGGCCTGCTCGCGAAGCGTTGGAGCCTCCCAGATGGCTCCGGACAGCCCAGGATGGCCTCCAAGATGGTTCAAGATAGCTTCCAGCATGCCTCGGACAGGCCCCAAGAGATCCACAACGGTTCCAAGCAAGTGGCCACGGAGCCTCCCACGGACTCCCCCGAGAGGCTCACGTCCTTCAAAAACCTAAGAACACATGCAAGTATGCTTTCTCGCCTGTTCGCTTTCGCTCGGCTTCCGGGGCCTCCAAATGGATCCCAGATCGTCCAAGCGAGCCCAAAGAGAGGCCCAGGAAAGCTCCAAGACGGCCCCTGGAGCGTCCACGAGCTCCCCCAAGGAACGACTTTTCGGCCTCCGACGGGGGGCGGTAATCAGTCAGCCCCCCTTATTGCTCGTTAGTCTGCAAGACGGCCGCAGGAGGGCCCCAAAGGTCTCCAACATGGCCCTGATAGGGTCCTAAGAGGGTCCAACATGCTTCCAACATTGCCCCAATCTTGCCCAAGTGAGCTGGCAACAAGCTCCGATGCCGAAAGATCCGCGAAGGCATTTATGTTTGACACCTGGGCATGCTCAGGCTGATCCTGATCCTTCTGTGTTCCACTGCGTGCTCCCCATACTTCCCTGATCAATGCAACTCGCCTGGGGATCGTTGCTGGATGGGCTGGTGGGGACATGCGATGCGTCAAGAAGTGAAGTCATCATGCTAGGTACACTGAATAATTAAGGAAAGACATCTTGTTTCTGGCCACGGCGAGCCTCGACCACGAATAGGTTCCCTGACAAAGATCTAGGAAGCGGCCCAAACAGTACAGCCCCTGCTGAACCCAACGTGGTCGCCATTATTTCTTTTGTAGCGCAACGACCCGCTCGGCGCATACACTTCGTGGGCAGAAACGACATACATCCACATGAAGGTCGCGTCCTAGAGCCATCTGACGCTGGAGAGCTGCAGACGGAGGGAGAAGAGCAAGGCCGAGGGCTGGACGAGGAGAAGAAGCAAGGGGGGAAGGGCCACTGGCCTTGTGCATACATTCTCCGTGGTCAAACTGGCCACTTCTATCAGCAGGCCTCCCAGGAGCAGGCAAGCCTTTTTTGTAAAGACAATTCACAACATGGATAAATCCGTGCGGCGTCATACCTGAGGCATTCTGATGAAACCGAAACAATAGTAGAAAGAAATAGAGAGAGAGAGACAGAGACAGAGAGAGAGAGAGAGAAAGCGAGATAATGAGGACACGAGAGAGAGAGGGCGGGAAAGAAAAGACTAGATACATAGAGATAGTGATGTGTGTATAGATATGCATCCAGAAAGAGATGGCAAAACAATAACGAGAGAAAGAGAGAGAGAGAGGGAGGAGACAAGGAGAGAGATCGGGAGAGACATAGAGAGAGGGGGGATATATATATATAGAGAGAGAGAGAGAGAGAGAGAAACATCTATATATATATATATATATATACATATATATATGTATAAAGAGAGAGAGAGAGAGAGAGAAACAGAGAGATACAGAGAAAGAGAGAGAGAGAGAGGGAGGAGAGAAATAGAGAGAGAGAGAGAGAAAGACGAGAGAGAGAGAGAGGGAGAGGAGGACGAATCTGCTGTGCCTGCAGCACGTAGTGGAGAGTCCCAAGGTTCCTGCAGCTCTGAGATGTTCAGCTTTGTAGGCTTTTGAAGCATAAAAATTCAAAAGCCGGCGATTTCCGGGGATTCTCAAGGAGTGTCGCGCGCGTCCTCCAGTAGCGCCGACGACCATCACATGAGCCCAGAAAGCGCCCAAGAGGCCGAAGATGCCTCTGAGAAGGCCCAGGAGTGCCCCAGTACGCCCAAGATGGCCTCAACATGGCCCAAGAGTCCACGAGGTCCCCAAGTTGGCCCCAAGACGGCCCCAGAGGCCCAAGAGGGCCCCAAAACGGCCCAAGAGGGCCCCAAGACGGGCCGAGAGGCGCCCAGGACGGCCCAAGAGGGCTCAAAGACGGGCCTAAGAGGGGGCCCAGACTGGGAGCCTGAACGGACATTTCGAGCCCTCGGTCCCGAGGGCCCAGGAGGCCCCCAAGAGGCCCCCCAGAGGCTCCCAATAGGCCCCAGGAGGCTCCCGAGAGGCCCCCAGGACGCCCCCGACAGGCCCCAGCACTGCGCCCACGAGGCCCCCGAGAGTGCCCCGAAGAGACCCGAAGAAACATCCTTGTGAACTCCGACCCGCAACCCCGGCCCGGTGACGATATCCCCTCCGCTCTCCCCCGAGCACTTGCTCTCCTGGTCCGCCCCCCTCCGCCCCCGCACGAGCTCTGCCGCACCGGGGTGCCCCCCGTGGCGTTGGGGAGTATGGGCGCGAGTGTTCGGGGTGGTGAGGCTATGATGCCCCCCTCCCTCCAATTTGACGTTGCACGGACCTGTTCCCTCCTTTTTGACGTTCCGCGGTCCTGTCCTGAAGCACGGGCTTCTCCCTCCCTGCTCCTCCTCCTCTTCCCAGAGCAGAATCTTTCTTAACAGAAGCTGTTTCAAAAGCGCACGCTCTGGAGCTGGGCGAGGATTTCTTTGATCTGCGCTGGACCCCACCCTCGCCCCTGGCGCGGGGAGCGCGCTGGGGGCGGCGCTGGAGACACCGCCAGCGGGGCCCAGCGCCGATCCATGAATTCCGCACGGACCTCCGAACGTTTATGCATATATTTGTTCTTTCTTCGACTTCCCCCTTCTGCGCCGAGAGGAATCTCCTGCAGGCGTTTCAGCTGCTCCGCCCTGTCGCACCCGCTGCGCCACGTCTCGAGGGACTGCGACACCTTCAGGCGCCGCTCCTCCATGGCGTCCTCGGGGGGAGAACGGATGAAGCAGGGGATGAGAAGGATGAGGGGATGAGGATACGGGTGAAGATGAGGATGAAGAGATGGAGGAGGAGGAGGAGGAGCAGGAGGAGGAGGAGGAGCAGCAGGAGGAGGAGGAGGAGTAGGAGGAGGATGAGGAAGAGAAGGAGGAGGAGGACGGGGAGGAAGAGGAGGAGAAGGAGGAGGAGGAGGAGGAGGAGGAGGGGGAGGAAGAGGAGGAGGAGGCGGAGGAGGAGGAGGAGGAGGAGGAGGAGGAGGAGGAGGAGGATGGCGACACCGAGAAGACGAAGAGAACGAGGAGGGTGGGAGTTGAGGCGCGTAGGTATTTTCAACTCTTTTTTGGGTCTCCTAGGGGGGCCCTCGCGGCAAGATGGAGAGCGAGTGGGGGAAAATGAGCCAGGACACATTCTGGGAAAACCAAACATACACACAATTATGGCATCAAAGCGGTGTCAGAACAAACGGAGTCGGAAGCCTTGGCAACTGGTGAATCCTCTGTGCTTGAGAAGGAATTCGTCTCGCGTGTATTGCGAACTCGGTGGCTGCTGGCGGCATTATCGGCACTGCATGGGTCAGCCTACGGGTCCCGCGCTTTTTCGAGCCCCTCTGGGAACGCGACAGCTCGGCGCCGAGCCCCATGGAACGCAAACAGAAATTAGATGGAACGGAGGCAACTTATGCCACTGTGGCCCGTCACCTCCTTCTCGGAAAAACGGTCAACGGTCACACATCTCGTTCGTTGTTGCGAGACCGTCTACTTGCCGTCGCTCGGACGTCCATTCCCTGTGTTTTTTTCGGTAAGGTGCGTGGTTTTTCCACAGGATGATCCAGGATGCTCCTTGATAATCCCCGCCGAGAAAAAGTGCACACGTCCGAGCGATACCAAGTCTACTGAGTTTAGCAGTCAGCGCCCCCCCTTACCCAACCTCTCCCCGTCCCCACGGCGCCACACTGAGGCTCGGGCCTGTCCCCGAGTGTCGGCGGCTGGTGCGTCTCGTGGCGTCTCGTGCATCACATGCCGAGCTGAGCTCTCTGGCCCAGTTAAAAAAAAACATGTATGAAACTCAACTGCGCTTTAACTCCTGGCCGAAGAAAGCGAAACACCAACGGGCCCAAGACTACTCAACGGCAGGTAAAACATCCGAGACGCTCCAAGGTCCTCCAGAGAACGTTCCTGGCCAGTCGCCACCCCCCTTCTTCCCCTTCGGAGAAGGATTTACCCCTCCCCCCATATACCCTCCCCTGGACCTGGAAGGGGCCGGTCGCGAGCTGTCAGAACGTCCAAAACAGCCTCGGCGAGAAGCCAAACTCATTAGTTTTACTAGGGCATTGGCCCCATTTGGGCCTCTTGGGGGGGCGGACGCTAATTGGAGCTCCCCTCTTTTTTGGTCGATGTCCTCCAAGATGGCCCCAAGAAGCGCCCATGAGGCCCCAAGAGGCCCTGAGAGGCCCCAAGATGGCCCCAAGAGGCCCCAAGAGGCCCCTAGGAGGCCCCCAGGAGGCCTCCAAGAGGACCCCAAGCGGCCCCAAGAGGCCCCCCCGAACCGCGAAGAGATCCCCAAGACGTCCCAAGAGGCCACCAAGAAGCGCCACAAGAGATACCCCAAGAGGCTCCGAGAGGCATCCAAGAGACCTCTGGCCCTTTTGTTTGCCCTCCTCCTCCTCCTCCTCCTCCTGCTCCTCCTTCCTCCTCCTACTCCCTCTATTCCTCCTCCTCCTCCTCCTCCTCCTCCTCCTCCTCCTCCTCCTCCTCCTATTCATCCTCCTTCTCCCCACTCCCTCGTCCATCCATCCAGCCTCCTCCTTCTCCTCCTCCCTCCTTTGCACGGTTCGGCCGTCCCCCTCTTTGCTCGCGCACTTCCCTGATCACCTCAACTCGCCTGGACATCGTTTCTGGATGGGCTGGTGGGGATACGCGCAACGTCTAGAATCGCTAGCACCTATCACTGTTGGACCTCCTACGAGCGCCCTGGCGATCTCGCCTTGGCGCCGCCTGCATGTCCTTTAGTTGCGAGGCTCACGCTCGAATATCTCGGGGTTGCGCCCAAACCGGCCCCCGACAACAAGAACGCTCCCGCTCGAGACCTTCTCGCTCTCCACTCTGGAACGGCGCTCTTGCTCGCCGCCGAGAACCGACCGTCCCGACAGCGCTTGAAGGATGCCTCCTCGGATTTAGCTCAGGAAGGATGCTCTCGTCTCGGCGCCGCAAACAGCCCCCCTACAAGAACGGCGCTCCAGCTCGACACTTCCTAACAGTTTGTTGACTGGCGCTCTTGCTCGCCGCTGAAAACTGGCCCTACAACAAACCCAGCGCTCAAACTCGTACTTCGCTGTTCTTCACTCAGGGGTGGCACTCTCGCCTCGGCGTTGCAAATCGTCGCCCCTGCAAAAACAACGCTCCCGATCGATACATCCTCACATGTTACTGAAGGGTGGCGCTCTTGCTCTCCGTACAACTATCCAGCACTCCCACTCGATACCTCTTTGTTTTTCACTCTGGAAAGGCGCTCTCGCATCGGCGTTACAAACCGTCCCCCCTGCATCAAAAGCACGCCCGCTTGATCACGTGTTACTGAGGGCGGCACTCTTGCTCGCCGCCGACCACTCCTCCAGCAAAACCAGGGCTCCAGCTCGACACGTCTTCGTTTATCGTCTCGGAGACGCGCTCTCGGCTCGGCGCTGCAAACCGCTCCATCTTCAAGGAAGAACGTTCCCGCTCGCTGCTTCCCGGTCTTGCTCAGGTGTGGGGCCCTCCTCTCAGCCATCGCCCCCGAGGGGCGAGTCTGGGCGGCCCCACGAGGGTCCCCGAACAGGCTTCACACCTGCGATCCCAGAGTTATCTCCGCAGCGGCGTCTATCGATTCCGAGAGTGCCCCGAGAGGCCACCGGACGGCCCCTCGCCATCGCTCGGACGTCCATTCCCTGTGCTCTTTTCGGTTTCGTGCGTGGTATTTTCGCCAAATGATCAAGGATGCTCCTCGATGATCCTCGCCGAGAAAAAATGCACACGTCCGAGCGATGCCAAGGATGAGGCGCCAAGACGGGCCGAGGAGCCCCCGAACAAATCCCAAGACACACACGCACGGCCTAGGGAGTCTCCAGAAGCTCCCAAGAGGACGCGTGGAGGCCCCAACTCCCAAGGTGCCCAAGGACAGCCCCAGACTGTCCCATCAGCCCCCGAAGGCAGGCCCAGAAGTTCTCCACTATTCCAACTCTTCCACTTCTACTCGTGCTCCTTGTCCTTCAATTTTTCTAGAAAAGTGGATTGGTTCTTGTTTTCCCCATGCGACCCGCCCCACAAAGAACGCATCGACTGTCAGGAACTCGGTTCAATGTGGTCTACCCAATCACCGCAACCCCCCGAACCCGCACTGACTATGCTGACGTGCATTGCGATCTGGAGGTCGTGGAGTGCCTCATGAGAGGCGTTGGCGCGACCTGCTTGGGCGGGAGATCTGGGTGAGGGAACATCGGGGCCTCGATCAGGCATCTCGTCTACATGTCCTTTGTCGATCCTTGTGTGCCTTGTTCGCCTTGTCGTGCATGCATGCTGTACTCCGTCTCTTCGCCGATCCTTCCCCCTCCTGCTGCTGACGCCAGGCTGAAGACAAAACACCTCAGAGCAGGGCTGGACCTGAACGTTGTGTGTTCGTATTGCTTTCGTTATGTGCTTCGTTTTGCTCTACCTGTTTTCCTGTACCTCCCTCCCAAAACGAAGAACAAAACGCAGCCGAAGTCCAGCCAAACACCGTTTAGGTCCAGCCCTGTCCCAGAAACAATGACATAGGCATAACAACTCTGAGGTCCGCGCGGATTCCTCGGATCGGCACTGGGGCCCCCCTGGCGGCGCCTCCGACACCACCGCCCATGGCGCGCTTCGCGCGCCAAGTGAGGGCTGCCCAACGCCGATGCCGGAAATCCGCGCGGACCTCAGCGTTTCCATGTTATGCCACTGTTTGTTCCCCTAGGTGAAGCCCGCGACACGGTCATACTGGAGGGAGCGATACGGGGGACCAGCCCAGAGGGGGAAAACACCGAGGTGGCATCGAGGATGCATCGCCGACAGATCGGCCATGGGCCCTCGATCGCGAATCCGCAGTCTCCTGGGCGAGGGGAAATGTCAGGCCCCCATCGGCGATGATTGGACGGTTGGGGGTCCACGAGAGCGTTTTTTGATGTTCCGTGGCAGCCGTTGCCGGCCTCGGCTGCCCCTCCCTCCCCCACCCCCCAGTAAGGTCACGCTGCGTGCTGACCCCTCCGAGTTGGCTGCAGTTATTCCTAGTCATTCCCTGGTGGCGCCAGCGCGAAACGTGACATCACCGCCCGCCCCACCCTCCCCTCCCTCCCCCCCTGGCTGACGCCCGTTATCGCCTGGGAGAACGCTCTCCATGCATTCCCCCCTACGGTGGCACGTGGGGATGTGAACTGCCAACACCCCTCTGGGACGATCATCCCCGATGTCGGTCGGACAAACGTGGCTTGTCCCGTGACTCGTCCGCCACGCGAGAGGACGACGGCGAGCAGCCCCTGTCCTCGGCCTTCTCGACCGCGACGGCCATCTTCCTGTTGCCCTCGATTTGCCGGACCTCCTGCTTCCTCCTTTGTCGCGCGCTTGCGGAGGAGGAGCGGCCACGGTAGCCCCCCGAAGGTGCTCACATGTGGCTGCCGGCGCCCCTTCCCCCTTCTTCCCGACGGCACCGAAGCACGAAGGCCGCAGCGAGACACTGACTTACAAGGAGGAGGAGGAGGAGGAGGAGGAGGAGGAGGAGGAGGAGGAGGAAGAGGAGGCGGAAGAGGAGGAGGACGTGTTTTGTTCCCTCCTTCTTGTCCCCCGTTCCCCCTGCTCCTCAACCACCCTGTGGTGCTGCTCAACTTTGCGTGCACCCTCCCGCTCAAGCTGGTGAGGGAATTCGGGACGCCCTTCCCTGCCAGTGGCGAAGGCAGAGGCACAAACAGCTGCATGACATAACTTCTCGGAGGTCCGCGCGGAGTTCCGACAGCTTACGTTTGTGCAACTCGCTTTCTCCACAGCCATCCCGTGGTGTTGGGTCCTCGTTTTGAAGATACGGTGCCCCGCGCCCTCCTCTCCTCTCCTCTCCTCTCCTCTCCTCTCCTCTCCTCTCCTCTCCTCCTCCTGTTTTTCCCACCTCCCAACCTTGTCTCTGCCCTCCGCAAGTCAACCAGTTCGGCACACCCCTTACACGTTTCGTGGCCCCATAGGGGGCTCCACCGAAGGCCCCATTGGCAGGGTTGACATGCAGGCTCCCCCCTCCATTTTGGCACACCCCTCACATGTTTCGTGGCCCCATAGCACCGAATGCCCTGGTGGCATGGTTCGCATGCCGCCCCTCTCCACTTTGGCACACCCCTCACACGTTTCGTGGCCCCATAAGGGGGCTCCACCGAAGGCCCCAATTGCATGGCTCGCATGCCGTACCCCTTCACTTTGGCACACCCCTCACACGTTTCGTGGCCCAATAAGGAAGTGGCAGGGTTCGCGTGCCGCCCCCCTCCCCTGTGGCACACCCCTCACACGTTTCGTGGCCCCATGGGGAGCTCCACCGAAGGCCCAAGCGTCATGAATTGCCTACCGCCCCCCCTCCACCTTGGCACACTCCGCATCCGTTTCGTGGCCCCCAAAGGAGATTAACCTAAGGCCCCAGCGGCAACGGCCGCATGGCGGCCCCGCCACATTATGCGGCGCACCCTTCGCGCGCTTCGTGCAAGGTCCATCAAAGGCAGATCTCACAACGGCGGTTTTCAGAACTGCATAGGGTTGGGTCCTTCGCCAAGATAATGGTTTCAGTCATTTTGACGAACTGTTCCCAACCATCATTGTGTGTTGAGCCCTCGATTTGAAGAGACAGCGCCCCGCGTCCCTCCCACCTCCTCCTCCCCCTGCCCCCCCCTCCTCCACCTCTTTAGTTTTGCTTTCCGCGCCAATCAACCACTTCGGCACACCCGTCACATGATTCGGGTGCCCAAAGGGAGCCCGCCGAAGACCCCAGTGGCTGCATTCGCATGCGCCCACCGCACCCATGTCGGTACACCCCTCACACGTTTCGTGGCCCCCTAGGGAGCTCCACCGAAAGCCACAGTGGCAAGGTTTACATCGCGCGACCCATATCGGCACAAAACTCGCAACTGTCGTAGCCCCGTAGGGAGCTCCACCGGAGGCCCCAATGGCAAGATTTACATGTCCGCGCGACCCATTTCAGCACACCGCTCACACGTTTCGCGGCCCCATAGGGAGCTTCACCGAAAGCCACAGTGGCAAGGTTCACGTCTGTCTGCGCGACCAATTTCGGCACACCCCTCACACGCATCGTGGCCCCATAGGGAGGTTCACCGAAGGCCCCAGTGGCAGGGTTGTCATGCGTCCGCGCAACCTATTTTTTTACATCCCTCACACGTAGCGTGGCCCCACCGAAGGCCCCAATGGCAGGGTTGACATATGTCCGCGCGACCGATTTCGGCACACTCCTTACACGTTTCGTGGCCCCACACGGATTTCCACCGAGGGCCCCAGTGGCAGGGTTTGCATGCGTCCGCCCCACCTGTTGGGACACACCCACCACACGCTTCGTGGCCTAATAGGAAACTCCACCAACGGCGGCGCAGACGCACGTAAACCTTGCCATTGGGGCTTTCGGTGGAGCTCCCAATGGGCCACGAAGCGTGTGAGTGGTGTGCCGAAGTGGGTTACGCGGACGCATGTAAACCCTGCCAATGGGGCCCATGTCGGCACACCTCTTACACGTTTCGTGGCCCCCAAAAGGGGGTTTCGCCGAAGACCCCAATGGCAAGGTTGACATGCGTCCGCGCGGCACGTGGCAAGGTGTACATGCGCCCACTTGACCCATGTCGGTAACCCCTTCACATGTTTCGTGGCCCCATAGGGAGATCCACCGAAAAGCTCCAGTGGCAGGGTTTACATGCGTCCACACCCATTTCGGCACACCCCTCATACGCATCGTGGCCCCGTAGGGAGCTCCACCGAAGACCCCAATGGCAGGGTTGACATGTGTCCGCGCGACCCCGTTCGACACACCCCTCAGACGTTTCGTGGCCCCGTAGGGAAATACACCGAAGGCCCCAATGGCAAGGTTCAGATGCGTCCGCGCGGCCAGTTTCGGCACACCCCTCACACGTGTCGTGAACCCATAGGGAGCTCCACCGAAGGCCCCAAAGGCAGGGCTGACATGCCGGCCCCCCCCTCCACTTTGGCACACCCCTCACAGCACCGAAGGCTGCGTTTACGTGCGCCCGCGCGACCCATGTCGGTGCATCCCTCACGCGTTTCGTGGCCCCATAACGAACTCCACCGCACACCCTTCGCACTTTTCGTGGCCCCATAGAGAGCTCCACCGGAGGCCAAGGTTGGCCTGCGTCCGCGCGGTCCATGTCGGCACACACCCCACACGCTTCGTGGCCTCATAGGGAGCTCCACCGAAGGTCCCAATGGCAAGGTTAACATGCGTCCGCGCGATCAATTTCGGCAGACCCCTCACTTTCTTTGGCTCATTAGGGGGCTCCACCGAAAACCCCAGTGGCAAGGTTTATATGCGTCCGCGTGACACATGTCGGTACACCTGTCACACGTTTCGTGGCCACATAGGGAGCTCCACCGACAACGTCAGTGGCGGGTTTACACGCGCCCGCGCGATCCATGTTGGCACACCCTTCACACGCATCGTGGCCCCATGGGGAACTCCACCGAAAATTCCAGTGGCAGGGTTGACATGCATCCGCGCAGTCCATTTCGGCACACCCTGGCCCCATAGGGAACTCCACGGGAGGGCCCATCGGCAGAGTTTACATGCGCCCGTTTGACCAACTCTGGCACACCCCTCACACGCTTCGTGGCCACACAAGGAGCTCCACCGAACGCCCCGGTGGCATGGTTTAATTGCGTCTGCGCGACCAATTTCGGCACACCCCTCCCGCGTTTCGTGGACCCATACGGAGCTCCACCGAAGGCCCCAATGGCAGGGTTGATGCGTCCGTGCGATCCATTTCAGCCCCCTTCCCTTAACACGTTCCGTGGCCCCATAGGGAACTCCACCGAGGGCCACAGAGGCAGGGTTTTCATGCGCCCGCCCCATCCATTGTGGCTACGTCTCGCACGTTTCGTGGCCACATAAGGAGCTCCACCGAACGCCCCCGTGGCAACGTTTACTGGCGTCGCGCGACCCATTTCGTCACACCCCTCCCGCGTTTTGTGACCCATACGGAGCTCCACCGAAGGCCCCAGTGGCAAGGTTGATATGCGTCCGTGCGATCCATTTCCGCCCCTCTCACTTCACACAGTCCGTGGCCCCATAGGGAACTCCACCGAGGGCCACAGTGGCAAGGTCTGCATTGTACATGCGTCCACGCGACCCATTTCGTCACTCACATCCCACGTTTCGTGACCCCATACGGAGTTCCACCGAAGGCCTCAATGGCAGGGTTGACATGCGTCCGTGCGATCCATTTCATCCCCCTTCCCTTCACACAGTCCGTGGCCCCATCGGGAACTCCACCGAGGGCCACAGTGGCACAATTTACACGCGTCCGCCCCATCCATTGTGGCTACGTCTCGCACGTTTCGTGGCCCCGTCGGGAGCTCCACCGAAGGTCCCAGTGGCTGCGTTCGCATGCGCCCACCGCAGCGCACACCTCTCACACACGCTTCGTGGCCCCATAGGGAACTCCACCGAAGGCCCCAATGGTAGGGTTCGCACGCGTCCGCGCCACCCATGTCGGCACACCCCTTACACGTTTCGTGGCCTTATAGGACTCCACCGAAGGCTCCAGTGGCGAGGTTCGCATGCGTTCGCGTCACACATCCCGGCACACTCTTCACACGTTTCGTGGCCCCATAAGGAGCTTCACCGAAAACCCGTGGCAAGGTTTGCATGCGTCCGCGCCATCCATTCCAGCACACCCTTCACACGCTTCGTGGCCCCATAGGAACCTCCACCGAACACGATACTCACAACTGCAGTATTCCTAACTGCATCTGGTTGGGTCCTTCGCCAGGCCAATTTGTGTGTTTCGTCTTCTGCTTCTTCTCTTATTATTCTTCTTCTTCTTCTTCGATTTCATCTTCTCGGGGGGGAGAGAGAGAGAGAGAGAGAGAGAGAGAGACTGACGATGAGGAAGGGGGCGATCCACGCGCCAGGAATGGGGGGGGTACACAACGCTCCGCGCTCCAGTGAGGGCCCCCCCGACGCCGACTTCCAGGCGGACCCCAAGGAATTATGCTCATGCAGTTTCCCAGCCCTCCTGCGTTGAGCACACGCTTTGAGATTGTTTTTTTATTCTGGCCGATAACGCTCGTTACCCGGGGGGGGGGGGGGGCGGTCGTGCCCCCCGGGGAACGGTAACGCTTGGGCTGGGCGGGGTATGGCGAGGCAGGGGCGCTCTGCGATCGCCATAGTACGCGCGCGAGCAGCACTCTCTGCCTGAGAGCACCACAGTGGCTTGCGATTCGAGTACAAGCGCAAAGCCCGCCGCGTGGTCCCGGCACCACGCCCGCGCCCGCGCGCGCGACGACGATGATCGACGAGCGACGAGGTCGACGACGACGACGACGACGTTTGCCGCCTGTTTCGGC